CAAGGATTTTCTTGTTGCATAAAGGGTGTATCTGCCCTACAGTAAGGGATCACTTCTTGATATCATAACCCCCACCTGGCAACTGAAGTAAAAAATACATATTATCCTATTTTTGCTGGCCTATGGGCACATCCACACGTTGCCCTACGGTGACATTGTTACTGCACTGTGCTTTAGTTCTTCCTTTTGGACACACCCTATTTACTGAATTTATAACCATGCCAACCATTCAATAAAAAAACCCAAAACAACCCAAAAACCATCTTCTGTTGAAACAACATCTGTCTCGCTCTTCACACTCTAGCCCGGATAATTAAGATTTGTTTAGTTATGTGACAATAAGGAGCATTTCTCAGGATGTTTGACATTGTAGGACAGCTGTTCATCACAGAGGTTTGTACTCATCTGTGGATTAAAACACCCCAAAAGTATCCTGTATTTCTTTTCAATTCCCTCAGCACTTTTTTGAAAACCTATCTTTCCGAGGAAGAATGTCACAGCCTAGATTTAGACAGCTCTTTGGTGATGTCTGACTGAATTTTTAACTTTTAAACTCAAAGGGTGCCTATACATGAGCAGGGAGGGAAGCTGCTCCGACACGCTGTAATTCCAGTGCATTGGAGCAATCGAGTCTGCTGGAGCGTGGCAATTATCACACTCCAGCAGCCTCCTGCGTCTTGTGTATCAGCATCCCTGCACTTCAAAATGGCGGTGGGGGCGCTTTATACCAGCAGACTTCTACTGATACCAGTGCCAGTGAGATCAAACTTGGCCTTAACTGTGTGATTTTTATTGTAAAACTAGTGTCTATAGTAAAGTTTGCATTCTTGCTGACAAAGGGTTGAATTTTTAAAAAGCTCAAAAATGGGGATTCAACCATTTGCTTGAGTATCATCACATCAGGTGCTTTAGTAACTGTACATGCCGCCCTGTACCAAAGGGGGGAGAAAATATCCCCACTCTCAGGATGCTGAGCCACTCTTTGAAGACTATTTGTGTCCAATGGATAGAATGGTCTCCACGGACTTCGCAGAGACTTCTCACTGGGTAAACTGAATGCTGCGTCTAGGCCTGCTAATGCTTCTACAAGAGAAGTGCATCAGCTGAGGCTGAATACTTCTTACTAAGGTAGCAGTAGCAAAACCTAGGTCCCTGGTTAAGTCTAGTTATTGTTAATCAACTCTACCGCTTTAACATGGTTTGTTATATACTAATGATGTGGTGCAATAAATTTTGCAAAAAACCCCCCGACATTGTAGTGCTTTGCAAATGACTCTGTTGGGACTTATGCACACAGCTGAGAGTGGCTGCACAAGGTGACGTATCTTACCAAGCAGCTGATTCAATGCAATGGAAGTGGTTAACCAATATCAGGTAGACCACACAAAGTGCCATACTCTGAAATGTGACTCATCATTCTTCCTGCATGAATGGTCAAACTTGGGCTCCCTTATGGTTTTAGTAGTACTGTCAAGCAAACCATTAATATGACAGGGGGTACATCTACACCAGATGCTCATTGTGCAGGAGCTGAAAAATATTGCATAGTAGCGTGTCACAGCACAGCCAGTGCTAATATGCTACAGCACAGAATTATTAGGCTACTGCACAGTAGTGTCACCAAAAAGACATTTGCAGGTGCTACTATGCAGTAACTCTGGTAGTATGCATTAACTCTATGCAGTAATTGCTAAGCAAAGTACTATATAAATGAGCATAGTACCTCGTGTAAGCATGCCCAGTATTCTCCAGATGTGCACTAGTTTCAGGCTCTGTCACAAGCTACTGGTGATCTCCATACAGGTAATATGCAATAATATAAAGCTTTGGGATGGATAGGTTTTTTGGAGGGTTGATAAAATTGTATTAATTCATAAAGAAAGTGATCAAGTGGGACTAATTCACTGCTAATGTTATAGATACTTTTTAAGCCAGTAGCCCAGAAGCCATTCCTTCCATGAGAGCTCCATTAATCATCATTAAGGGGAAGACTACCAGGGGGCTGGGAGACCCAAGTTCTAGGCACCTTTTACCAATAAGGAATTTGAACCTGCATCACAGTAATATACTCTAGCCACTCTACTGTGGGCTGGTCATTAGCCAAAAACACTCTCTAGCCTTGACTTTGACCCCTAGTTAGCTAGGAGGGAAAGATATGTGGGGCCAGGTGAAGCAGTACAAGCCAGATGTAGTGTAGCTCAGTGAGAGGAACTGGCATGAAACTATCCAACTATCTGTTTTATGCAAAGTACAACAAAAAAAGCCGGTGACATAGAGGCCAGAACCCAAGGCTCCATCTCTTCCAAGGCAGCATTCCCCTCTTTAAGTCACTTCACTTTCAGCTTACTTCAGACCTCCTGTTCCTAATCCAGGGTGTCAGGACCTAAACTGAGCCCTGGTCTGAGGGCTGCACCAGGGCTGACCTCCTACAGAGCACCCACAGTGCTGGATCCTGTATGCATGCTGCACACGCCAGTCTCTGAGATTGGCACAGGGTGTGTGCTGCCCATGGCACATGGACCGGACCAGGCAGCACAGGGGGTCAGTCCAGGATACCACATTCAGCCTGTGCCCTGGACCCCTGTGCTACATGCAACACCACATCTAGTCCACATGTGGTGGGAAGCACATGTCCCATGCCAGCCCCAGGGGCAACATGCATAGTGAGTCCTGTCCCCAGCTGGTCCAGCATGCAGCACATAGGGCTGAATGAACCAACGCACACTGCACAAAGCACAGGGAGACAGCATGGGGTGCGTGGTCTGTGCAACACCCTGTTGACTGGCCCTGCACATGGACTCTGGGTCTGGCAGGGTGAGTGCACTCCACATGCCAGCCCCTGTGGCACTTGTAGTGTGCAAGGGCTGCATGCAGCCCCCCCAGACCAACCCCTTGTGCTGTCTGTAGTATGCACAGCGCTGGGTCCACCTTATGCACCGGCTGGGGCTGGTTCAGCGACCCATGGGCCAGATCATACATCTCCACGGGCCAGATGTTTGACCCCCGCTGTCCTAATCAGTGACCCACTGGCCTAAAAGATGGGAGGTCTTCCTCTTTCTCCCCTCATTCTGACGTAGATGCATGGGAAAAGATTTCAAACTTGTATGAAAGTCAGGAATTGCACTTATACAGGTACGATAAAAAAGGATTTAGCCCATTCTGGATGTGGCCCAAGGTACCATTATACCCTGCACAAGGTTACCCTCCCTTCCTTCTGAAGCACCCACATGCAGAAACATTTACTCAGTTAATCCATACATCATATCCTCCTGCACTGGTCACCACCCCGTCCTCTAGGTAGAAATACTATGCTGTGTACTGACATGCCGCCATCCCATGCAACTGAAAGTGACTCGGCACCCTGCCCCTCAGAAGGGATTTTCTCCAGGTCAATGAGCAAGAAAAAAATAAATTAAGGAGACTAAGGGGGAGTTGTGTGAATGATTGCTAAGCTGATGTGTTCTCATCATCTCAGAAAACACAGCCAAAATTAGTGTACAATCTTCCAGTAAAACAATTAACAAACAGAAGACCGCTGTAAAATCCTAGGTCAGATCATTTCCCCCCATGCAAATGAGAAGCTGGAACAGCGAAAAGACCCCCTAGTACTGGGCCCTGTCACAATGAGGGTCTGGGCATACATCTTCTCTGAAATTCTCAGCACTAGTTGCCCAGCTGTTACCATTGTTAAGCCCTCTCTCCGCTCTTTGGTGAGATCCCTGTGTGTCTGGGATCGCGGCTGTGCTTGGCAGTACTGTGCACAGACCTGCTCGTTCTGCTGCCTCTCTCTCATTCAACAGAAGCTGATCTGTGCTTCAGCCCCTCGGAGCCCTTTGCTAACACCATTCTTTGGGTGATGCTTTTCACCTGCACATCCCCACTTCCCCACCCGTGTGTCCGTTCTCTCCCTTCACTCTGACCGCCCCCATCAAATGTTCTGCTACCTGACTTCTCTTCTCCACAGAGCCACTGTCTTCCTTCATGCTCCCAGTTTTTCCTCTTTGCCACAATTTCTCCTGAATGCCCCAGCTCCTTGTCCCAAGCCCTTCACACTGCCGGCCCTTTTGAAGGCTCTCAGCGACCCCCTTTTCCCCATCCCTGTACTCTGCCCAGATTCTCTCAAGATCCTCCACCGCTGCCACCCCGCCCTGCCCCTCCCCAAGCAGTCTGCCTAGCTTTCTTCCCCCTCGGGCCCCTCACGTTTCCCAACCCTCCTCCTCTTGCCCACGTCTTCTCCTCATGTGCAGCTCTTCATCCTAAAGTCCTCCATATGGTGTGCCCCTACCCCACCTGTACCAGTGCATTGCCCTGGTGTGCCCCTACCCCACCCTGTATACCGGTGCTTGACCCCAGTGTGGGGGCACACCACCCCACACCGGTGCCTGCCCCGGGTGTGCCCCTACCCTATACTGGTGCCTGTCCCTGGTTGGAGGGTTGATAAAACTGTATTAATTCATAAAGAAAGTGATCAAGTGGGACTAAATCACTGCTAACGTTGCATATACTTTCTACGCCAGTAGCCCATTCCTTCCATGAGAGCTCCACTAACCAACGCTAAGGGGAAGACCTACTCCACCCCATACTGGTGCCTGGCCCGGGTGTGCCCCTACCCTATACCAGTGCCCAATCCTGCTGCCTGTCCCCAGTGTGCCCCTACCTATACCTGTCCCCGGTGTACCCCTACCCCATACTGGTGCCCTATACTGGTGCCTGTCCCTGGTGTGTCTCTACCCTATCCCTGGTGTGCCCCTACCTATATATGTCCCCGGTGGGCCCCTACCCTATACCAGTGCCCAATCCTGCTGCCTGTCCCTAGTGTGCCCCTACCTATCCCTGCCTCCAGTGTGACCCTACCCTATACCGGTGCCCAATCCTGATGCCTGTCCCCGGTGTGTCCCTACCTATACCTGTCCCCGGTGCGCCCCCACACCGCCCCGTAGAGGTGCCCGCTACCTCTCCGGATGCGGGCGCCCGACGTGCCCCTCGCCACCCGCACCTACCAGCAGCGGCGACCAGCAGGCCAGGAGCACGCACATGATGCCCAGCAGCTGGATGAGCGTCTCGGTGGCGATGCGGCCCCACTGCTTGCCGGCCCGCGACGCCGTCACCTTGGCGCGGCAGCGCGACACCAGCGCCGCGATGGTGGCCACGTTGCAGGCGGC